TTTTCTTAGCATTTCTTAACATTCTGTTAACCGTAAGTCTTGTTTTATGGGACATTACAACTCTATTGCATGTCTACATGTCACAATATACATACACAGAAAATGTAACTCATCCAAAACATTTATTTCATGATTCAAAACCTATAGCTATTGTGTCAGTAAATTGGCCAATGCCACCAAAATGAAAAGTTTTGTCTGTCTGAATGCTGTTTTGTGAACGTTTTCCGTGAAATACTTTTATTATTGTAACAATGCATTGCATATAAACAAAACATTCCATGTCACAGATATTTATAGAATATAAATGTCTGACAGATTTTGATATTTGAAAGGATAATTACGTGATGGCTCACACAATTAAATAATGTTTAGAAACTGTGAAGAGTATGACAGTTTCACTGAGAATTAACTCAGTTTTGATCAGCAAACCAGTTTTGTACACATTTCAAAACACATGCAATCTGCTTATATAATTAATACATTTAAATTTGGTGTAATGCTCAGTGAACATTGAACTAAGAATTTCTTTCCACTGGCAGAATCAGGACTAATATACCAGCTAATGTCATCTGAGCGACTGGAAACAAGACAATAATTATAACTGTAACACTGGATGGGACTTGCATGGGGAAAGGGGACAAAAATAGTTCTGATGAAAAATCAGTGTGCCTGTTTTGATGAAAAAGCTTTCTGTTCTGATTAGTAACAGTCAGCTGCCTGACAAATAGGGGGTTTATCTGTTTTACTGTTATCACAGTGGACAGATCCAAATGTAAATCAGCAAATAACATTTTATAGTTTCACAGATCCGATGCAATGCTTCATAATAGCAAATGTCTTGATGAAAAAGTGGTAAAATAATATGATATGCTGAATGTGTGGACATGTCTAAAAGCTTGAATAGTTTCACACAAGTCTCTGTGGACACTAATCTGTCTTCTCTTTTAGACTATAGCTGCATGCAATATGATTGGTCTTTGCTGCTCGATAACTCCAGGTAACGAGCTGTCTAATAGAGAAGTCACAGTGTGCTTATCTTCCAGCTGCAACACTCTCTTTTAATGAGCTTTACCTAATTTCCTGCTCCCATTTAGCCACTGCAAGCCCTTTTCACACACTCTATTTCCTGTTCAGCTCCATTTCCAGTCAACATTAGAGCTAATTCTAGCATCATTTCTCCCTGGAAGAGAGAAGTGTAAATGATAATGGATAATTTGGTCATTTTGTCAACGATAACTTACCCAAATTGATATAAGTTGTGTGCAAAAGATACATACAAGAAAAACTTTGAATTGTTCATGTCAGACCCGGACCTTCTGCTCAGGATTCGAAGAGTCACACTGAGTCTCACACTGGCCGTGTAACAGCTGTTATTCAGCTCTAGTATTCCCTCAAACAGTATGAATAGTCTTTATTCTCCATTCACTCAAAAAGAAAATTATTTCATGGGGTTAACAGCAAAAAAGGCACACGTGTGGCCAAAACTGAGTGCAACCGACTGGCTAATTTCTCATTAAAATCTCCATATTTCTTTCTTGTTTATCTATAAGCCAGTCATAGCAGTCAAAGTGTGGGTGGTTGCTAGGGTGTTTTTTGTAGTTGTGAGGGCATTGCTAGACATTTTCTAGGGTCTTCTGGGTGGATGCTGGATTATTAGGGTAGATGTTTATTAGGGTGTGTTGGGTGCTTGCTAAGCAGTTCCTAGGGTGTTCTGGGTGGTTGCTAAGTGGTTGTTATGGTATTCTGTGGGGTTGTAAGGGCGTAGCCATTTGGTGGGGTGTTCTGAGTAGTAACTATGTGGTTTCTTGGATTTTCTGAGTGGGTGCTAGGGTGTTCTGGGTGATTGCTAGGCAGATGTTAGGGTGTTGCTATGCAGTTGCTAGGGCATTTTGTGTGGTTGCTTTGTGGTTTCTAGGGTGTTGCTTTGTAGGTACCTGTTACTTAGTATGATCTGGCTGGTTACGGGTGTTCTGGGCGGTTGCTAGGCAGATGTTAGAGTGTTGCTTTGAAGTTGCTAGGGCATTCTGTATGGTTGCTTGGCAGTTGCTAGGGCATTGCTTTGTAGTTATTCGGGTGTTTCTAGTATGTTCTGGGTGGTTACGAGGGGGTTGCTATGCAGTTGCTAGAACGTTCTGGGTGGTTGCTATGGTGTTCTGAATGGTAGCTAGGCTGTTGCTAGGGTGTCCTGGGTGGTTGCTAGGTAGTTGCAGAAAGATAGATAGATTCTCTTCAATCTTGCATGTTTTAAAATATCCCAAAAGCAATTACATTTTTTGACGTGATATGATGTTAAAGAGATGACCACACTGAATAACAGGGTGCAAATCACAGTTTCCTGGGAACTGGTAATGCGATTGTTTGTCTTTTGTCTACTTTTATGTTGTTTTTCCAAGAAAGTATCTGAACAGCTGCAGCTCTGACATCATAAAACAGCATTACATGTGTGAGGCTGGGTTCAGCACTGTCTTTTATGTAATGGCCTCAGTGCTCTGAACTGTCATGATAACAACCTCAAAAGCAAATCTCAGTTCAAAGAACTGGAATAACATGAAACTTTCAAATGAAACATATTTATTGAAAACAGCAGATGATGAAATTTACTGAATGTAATTCTTAAAAGAGTATACTGCTTAAAAATAGATCAGTTAGTCAATGTAAATATGTAGTAAAACATGCACTGCTTATTTTATATGAAGTGTATAGAGGATGAAAGCAGGCTTATGTGCCCCTCCAGGGCCTTTTCAGCTGGAGGACTGTTAAAAAAAATGGAGAGTTACTATGTGGTATACGTCAGGCCTGTCTCAATTTTTATGTGCATTCTTATCACACCACCTTTGAAATGAGGCCTAATCATGCATTAAAGAACAGCTCGAGTCTAAGTTTGTCGAGTGATGAGTTTGTGGTGTAGAGGATCTCTGCTTCTGTCTTTCATATGACATCATTCTCCATCACTAATTCAACTGACACTGACCAGAACAACATTTGACACTTGACAGAATTTCAGTAAGAGAACATTTAGCTCAATGCAAAGCTCAGCTGCTTGAAAAATAATAAAAATGTGAGAGTGTACTTTCTGGCAAAATGTCTCATTGGAGGAGTTTTCCTGACCATTAAAAATGTTTTTTTAACCTATCGATCAGGAACTTTTAAACTTCATAGTGTTTGTGTAATATTTATGCCAGTTTGTAAGTCTAAGAACATGCATCTTCTCTTTTAAATGCAGTGTGTACAGTCCTATTTGTGGTCAAGCAGTCTCACTGAAAGATGCAATGTCAAATGTAGTATTTGTAAGGGAAAAATTACATCCATGCACAAGTATATTTCAAGTTGCTGGGAGAAGCAGAGACAGCAATTTATGTAATAGATTGCATGGGATTTTGCAGACCACTGCAGAGACATACGATTTACTGTTAATATAAGGGCTTTCTGCTCCTAGTTTCTCATCCTTCAATCTTGGCTGTGATATCTCTGAAACAGCAGACCTGTGTTTGATGAAGGATCATATATTATCGTACATTGTAATATAATTTTTTTTTTTTTTGATGAATGATTAAGAGTCCATGAACTTCCAGTAATTACTTATTCGTGATTTCTTTTGAAACTATTGCACTGAACATTGCTTGTATTACCGCACCGCCCCCTGGTCACACTCTGCCATTACAAGTCCTCTCTGCATAATATAATAATATAATATAATATAATATAATATAATATAATATAATAAAGTGCTTGTAGTGTAGCGCTGAGCAGAGCAGAGACATGGGGAGTACATTTTGTAATACAGATATCTGTGGTTTTACATGACCACTCTCTTCAGTCACAAGGAGAGCATTTTGAGACTTGTTCATAAATTGCACAGATAGATATAGCCGTCATTATTTCCTGTGCTGGTTTTTGCTTAGCCACAGGGCTTCTTTTAGACATATAATTTGCACAGAGCTTTCATAATATAGTAAACTGCTAAACATCTTTTACAGACTATGTGTGTTGTGAAGAGAAACTGATTTGCAAATTCTTCTGTTAACACAGCTTGGCTCTGTTGACATATGACATATGAGTTTTACAACAACAACAATAATGATGATGATAATAATGATATATAGGCCAACATCTCTGCCCTGCTCTGAACAACATTACAAGCACGCAGTTTATATTAAGATGTGCCTTTCTATTATTGTGTTAATATTAAGAAAAAATATATAACTTGTAGAGAATTTTATTTTATTTTGAAATATATCGTAAAGTATAAAATGGAGTACGTTCAAAGATGGTTAACCCATTGAAGGGCTCATTAGTCTATATGCTCCAGCATCTTTTTGTCTGAACTACTTAGCTGCGTGTTTATCACAATTCAAATTCAATTCAAAATATTTTATATAAAGATAACAATCTGAACGTACACCGGCCTCCTTTATAGTCCACTATCCATAAATGGAGCGTTATTCATCTGAATTGTATTTATATGTTATCCTGTCAGTTCCACATGAAGTGCCTTATTTATTCCATAGCAAATATAGTACAGATAACTTTTATGTCACACACGCGCTTCCGTTCTGCTGCGTTCGAAGGACGTTTGAGGGGTTGCCATCGGTGACGCGTCCCTACGCAACCAAACCCCGCCCTGGTTCTCGCATCTCCGCTATGATTGGTGCATTTAATCCAGGCCTTCGAAAATTCGCAAGATGATTGGTCGAACCAGCTGTCAGTCTCCCACAAAAATCTATTTACAGTAGGTTGTGAGCGGATCAAGTGTATCCGTTCAGATTAAAGCTGGATCTCACTGAAACTAAAAGCCTTTCGAGGTCGATTTTGTGTAGTTTACAAGCTGTTTTGTCCGATATTTATTAGTTATTCCTCGACGGAACGTTTTAATTCGCCTATTTTCTTCTGCTGAAGCTGAAGATCGAGGGAAAAGATGTCTTCGGAAGAAGACAGAGCGAAGGAGATTCTAAAGGGGTTTAAACTGTATCCTTAAGTGATGATGGGACAGATTAGCCACCTAGCTTCAAACCTCAAACTCGCACAACTTTGCATCTTTATTCAGGTGTTAATCTGGAATAAGTAATTGATTTAACGGTTATGAAACCAGGACTTTAGTATCAATTGATGCTGTAAGAGATGCTGGTTACAGTTAGCAGGACAAACTGGGAGGTGAAGTAGTGTCATATTATGTTATGCTTTCTTGGTCATTATGACTGAGACTTGATTTCAGTTTCAACAATATCCATCTATAAATCCAAATGCCTTTTATCTGAACAAACAAACTACAGGCTTTTTTTTTGTCTGTGGTGGCAGTCTGTCTGTCGACTCATTTTGGATGTATCGACACTTTTAAACATCCAATTGAGTTTTTAAACTGTTCTCCTTAAGTTTTGTTGCGGTATATATGAGAAGTTTATTTGCTATGTAGTGTGTGAATGAATAGATGGTGTAATTTCTCTAATCCAGATTACGTCTGTGTTATTCTATAAACTGTACAAATATACATGTTTTTGTTAATGTGCATACCTGGATTCATGAGTTACTGGCATATGAATTGTAATTTACTAGTGCAGTTAATCATATCGAAGTAATTTCAAAGCAGTCTGGTGGTGTTTATTAGATTATAGACACTTTCAGGTAAAATTCCCACTAAGTTTTACATTTATTTGAGCATATCAGCATCAGTAACTAACTGTGGGATGTTGCTATTTCCTTCAGATGAACGTTTGGCTAATGTTCACATGGGCTTCAGGATACTATGTGACTATCAGGCACCTGATTCTTGGGATCAGGTGCATTAGACAGGTGAAATCTCCTCACACAGTTTGTGCCTGCCATCACGATTACATAACATTGGCTAGTGTTTCTATAATAGGCTCTGTAAATCTGACGAGAATAATCACACTAGCACCAGAACCCTCTGATGGGGTGAAAATGGCCACGTCTGGAACATTTGGACTGCCTTGTGTCAGTCCTGATGTACACTGTTTTACAAATATTTCTTCATGTAGACATGGGTCTACCCTGTGTGACCTTCTCTGGGAAAGCAAGGGTTTGTCTTACAGGCTGGTAATTCTTAAATCCTTGATTTGAAAGGACAGGGATTTGCTGCCTTATGCTCCTCACATCCAACTGCTTTGAGGCAAAGCTGTGGAAAATGATTAAAACTTATAAATGTTTGTCTTTTAATGAAAGGTTTGTGAATGATGGTGTTGAAAGTCTGTAAGGAAATATTTTGGATTTACACTATTGTTCAAAACATTTGGGGTCATGAAGTTTAAAAAAAAAATTAATACTTTTATTCAGCAAAGCTACAAATTACAAAGCAAAGTATTACATTTCTCAAAACTGACAGTATAAATGCTACAAAATAACTTTTTTGAACTCTCTGTTTATCAAAGAATCCCAAAGAAATGCATTTTGGTTTCTACAAAAAATATTAAGCAGCGCAACTGTTTTTAGCAATGTTAATAATAAGAAATGTTTCTTGAGCACCAAATCAGCATATTAGAAAGATTTCTGAAGGATCACGTGGCACTGAAGACAGGAGTAATGGCTGCTCAAAATTCAGCTTTGCCATCACAGGAATAAATAACATTTTAATAATATTTCACAACATTACTGCTTTTACTATATTTTTGTTTAAATAAATGCAGCCTTGTTGAGCAGAAGAGACGTCTTTCAAAAACACCCCCAAACTTTTGAACGGTAGTGTACGGTAGAGTGTATGGATAAAACATTCAGCTTTCATTTTAGGTAGAATATTGAAACTTTGTACTGTAGTAGTTGTTCAGAGTAAACTGGAGCACGGGCTGATATGCCATAGATATCACTACCTATTTAGAAACATGCTTTTATGCATAATGTATATTATTGCATTGGCCCTGCACATAATTTTAGAGCTCAGCTTTTTTTTTTAACTAAATTTGTGTCATCTTAGTATAGCACAGCTCTTTGTAGCAGCATGAATCTGGTAAAATGTAGTTACGCAGCACAAATGGATTTTCAAAGGCTGGTCAATGCAATTTTATCTCCAAGCTTCATCATATTTGCCCTGTGTAGTTTTTTTTTTTTTTTGCCCCAGAGGTTACTACTGTGTGCAAAGCACCATACCCTTGAGTGGCTACAAAAAAAAAACCCACTGACTTAAATGATGAAAAAGGCAGATATTGTATTATGTGCCAAACTATGTTTGTTAGAAGCATGTAGAGATTTTGAAGGTGTGTGAATTTTGTGTGCTTGCCATGTCTTTCAAGGCTAGTTTTCTGTTCCTCTTCCAGGAACACAGTACTGTGTGTGTATTTTTTGGTAAATCGTTAGACTAACATAGCCTTCACTGCCAACATTTTTAATAGGACAAAATGTGATGCGTTTGATGTACAGATTTTTTTTATGTTATTATTATTACTATTAAACTACACAGTTACTGTAGCTCTTTTGCACCAGTAACAACAGACTGGAAATGGCAACAATATGCAACAATGGATGACTTTTTAAAAATGAATGTGGCTTCCATGAAAGCATTGGCGCCGAAGGGACTAATTACCTCGACAGTGACAGTGTTTGTGAGTAAAAGGGCCTCTCCCCTGCGACTCTCTCGGTGTGCTCAGCAGGTGAGATCCCACGGACATCTGTCACCAATAATCTCAAATGCAGTCGCCTGGTACATCAGATACAGAGCCTGACACTTTAAGGGCATAGTTACTCATTTTTAGTATCTTCAGCTGTTGGAATCTAAATTCAGGGTGAAATATATCACAGGATATAGCACATAAAATTGATTGGAAATACAAGAATCCCTTACTAAGTCTGGAATTTGCTTAATTGATGTTTAAGCACATTAATATGAGTGTAAAATGTAGTTATTTTTGTAGTCTATACATTGTGTATGAAGATATGGGATCTGTTCAGCAAAGTTAACATTGAATAATTTAATTTGGTTCAGTTTGGTCATTTTGTAAAAGGAATATATATAGATCAGCTTCTTGGCTGGACTGAGAATGAATCCTGGGTCATGCTTCTAGTTATTTGTGTCTTGGGATTCATTTCAAGTAATTTAATGCTTCAGAATAGTTCCATATAAAATCGAGTCTCCATAAGAAAGAGAAGAACTAAATAATAAATAAGAAAATAACAAATAAAATAATATATTATATTGATATAATTAATATAAATAAATCATTTTATTATGGCTGCAGTGTCGGTAATATTTTCTTTTTTGATGAAGGATTTTTATGATAAGCCCTTTTTATTCCTTCAGGAACAATTTAGGGATTTGCATTTGTTAAGGAGCATTTATGTGTCACTATTAATGCTTGAAAGGTAGATTAGGATTAGTAATACATGTAGCACACTTATGCAGCCCTGACTGAGGTCTCATAGGGTTGGTAACTAGGGCCTGTAATGACACATGCAGCCTTGTGTGAGTGTGCTTTAGCAGCCTGAAAGGCTCATACAGGTGGTCTGAAGATGAAGAGGTCAGATGTCATTGACACAGAGTACAGGACATTGTCACAAACCATTGTTTAACAGACAGATCAGGCTGTTTTTAGACTTCAAGTGTGGTCTGTCTCTGTTAGCTTTGCTGGTATTGTTTGCATTTGTGATTTATAACAAATTGCTGCTCAATGTAATAATTAGATAGAAACTCTTGAATTTAGACATCATTGAATAGTTCACCCATCATGTGTTTAGAAAAATACTCACTTTCTTCCGTGGAACATAAAAAGAACGAGCAAGATATTTAGTGAATTTAAACTTAAAGTCACCATGAAATCAAAATGGAAAATTCTTATTTTTTAATGGAATACTGTAGTTTATTATAAATAATTTATCTGTGCACTTCATTATTGTTTTTAAATTCATGTGCCCTCGTAATCTTTAATCAAAAACGTTAACCTCCCCTCCCCCTCAAAACGACTCATCTTCTCTTCCGGTCACGAGCTATGGCGCAAGGGCGGAGCTAGTGACGTGAGGGGTAAACACTGGGGTAAACGACAGCGGGTAAAGCTGAAGCTGATGCTTCACTTTATAGCACTGACACTAGTCATGAGGGAGTACGTTACCCCTAAACATTGAAAAGATATTAGGATATTACGACATTACTCTTAGGACATCGCAAACTAATTTTTTTCATGAATATGACTTAACCTGATGGAGGACGTGCTCAGTCATTCAGGCAGTCTCTCTCTCTCTCTCGCGTGCGCGCGCTGTTTAGGCATGTTTTGTGCCGTTGATCGTCGTCGTCATCCTTAATAAATAAAACCTTTATTCATGCTTGGGTGTAGGCTGTGAATTCAGAAAGAAATCCCCCACCACTAACTGCAAACTGGCATTCAGATCTGCCTCCATTTTGTTAGCAACGCCCCAGCTTCCAACGATCCAATCAATTCCCGAAGGACAAATCAAGTCCCGCCCTCTCATTTCAGATGCCGTTTCACTCGGATATACGTCACAGTAGAGAAGAAAAGACAATCATCTTTATTCAGGTGTTAATCTGGAATAAGTAATTGATTTAACGGTTATGAAACCAGGACTTTAGTATCAATTGATGCTGTAAGAGATGCTGGTTACAGTTAGCAGGACAAACTGGGAGGTGAAGTAGTGTCATATTATGTTATGCTTTCTTGGTCATTATGACTGAGACTTGATTTCAGTTTCAACAATATCCATCTATAAATCCAAATGCCTTTTATCTGAACAAACAAACTACAGGCTTTTTTTTTGTCTGTGGTGGCAGTCTGTCTGTCGACTCATTTTGGATGTATCGACACTTTTAAACATCCAATTGAGTTTTTAAACTGTTCTCCTTAAGTTTTGTTGCGGTATATATGAGAAGTTTATTTGCTATGTAGTGTGTGAATGAATAGATGGTGTAATTTCTCTAATCCAGATTACGTCTGTGTTATTCTATAAACTGTACAAATATACATGTTTTTGTTAATGTGCATACCTGGATTCATGAGTTACTGGCATATGAATTGTAATTTACTAGTGCAGTTAATCATATCGAAGTAATTTCAAAGCAGTCTGGTGGTGTTTATTAGATTATAGACACTTTCAGGTAAAATTCCCACTAAGTTTTACATTTATTTGAGCATATCAGCATCAGTAACTAACTGTGGGATGTTGCTATTTCCTTCAGATGAACGTTTGGCTAATGTTCACATGGGCTTCAGGATACTATGTGACTATCAGGCACCTGATTCTTGGGATCAGGTGCATTAGACAGGTGAAATCTCCTCACACAGTTTGTGCCTGCCATCACGATTACATAACATTGGCTAGTGTTTCTATAATAGGCTCTGTAAATCTGACGAGAATAATCACACTAGCACCAGAACCCTCTGATGGGGTGAAAATGGCCACGTCTGGAACATTTGGACTGCCTTGTGTCAGTCCTGATGTACACTGTTTTACAAATATTTCTTCATGTAGACATGGGTCTACCCTGTGTGACCTTCTCTGGGAAAGCAAGGGTTTGTCTTACAGGCTGGTAATTCTTAAATCCTTGATTTGAAAGGACAGGGATTTGCTGCCTTATGCTCCTCACATCCAACTGCTTTGAGGCAAAGCTGTGGAAAATGATTAAAACTTATAAATGTTTGTCTTTTAATGAAAGGTTTGTGAATGATGGTGTTGAAAGTCTGTAAGGAAATATTTTGGATTTACACTATTGTTCAAAACATTTGGGGTCATGAAGTTTAAAAAAAAAATTAATACTTTTATTCAGCAAAGCTACAAATTACAAAGCAAAGTATTACATTTCTCAAAACTGACAGTATAAATGCTACAAAATAACTTTTTTGAACTCTCTGTTTATCAAAGAATCCCAAAGAAATGCATTTTGGTTTCTACAAAAAATATTAAGCAGCGCAACTGTTTTTAGCAATGTTAATAATAAGAAATGTTTCTTGAGCACCAAATCAGCATATTAGAAAGATTTCTGAAGGATCACGTGGCACTGAAGACAGGAGTAATGGCTGCTCAAAATTCAGCTTTGCCATCACAGGAATAAATAACATTTTAATAATATTTCACAACATTACTGCTTTTACTATATTTTTGTTTAAATAAATGCAGCCTTGTTGAGCAGAAGAGACGTCTTTCAAAAACACCCCCAAACTTTTGAACGGTAGTGTACGGTAGAGTGTATGGATAAAACATTCAGCTTTCATTTTAGGTAGAATATTGAAACTTTGTACTGTAGTAGTTGTTCAGAGTAAACTGGAGCACGGGCTGATATGCCATAGATATCACTACCTATTTAGAAACATGCTTTTATGCATAATGTATATTATTGCATTGGCCCTGCACATAATTTTAGAGCTCAGCTTTTTTTTTTAACTAAATTTGTGTCATCTTAGTATAGCACAGCTCTTTGTAGCAGCATGAATCTGGTAAAATGTAGTTACGCAGCACAAATGGATTTTCAAAGGCTGGTCAATGCAATTTTATCTCCAAGCTTCATCATATTTGCCCTGTGTAGTTTTTTTTTTTTTTTGCCCCAGAGGTTACTACTGTGTGCAAAGCACCATACCCTTGAGTGGCTACAAAAAAAAAACCCACTGACTTAAATGATGAAAAAGGCAGATATTGTATTATGTGCCAAACTATGTTTGTTAGAAGCATGTAGAGATTTTGAAGGTGTGTGAATTTTGTGTGCTTGCCATGTCTTTCAAGGCTAGTTTTCTGTTCCTCTTCCAGGAACACAGTACTGTGTGTGTATTTTTTGGTAAATCGTTAGACTAACATAGCCTTCACTGCCAACATTTTTAATAGGACAAAATGTGATGCGTTTGATGTACAGATTTTTTTTATGTTATTATTATTACTATTAAACTACACAGTTACTGTAGCTCTTTTGCACCAGTAACAACAGACTGGAAATGGCAACAATATGCAACAATGGATGACTTTTTAAAAATGAATGTGGCTTCCATGAAAGCATTGGCGCCGAAGGGACTAATTACCTCGACAGTGACAGTGTTTGTGAGTAAAAGGGCCTCTCCCCTGCGACTCTCTCGGTGTGCTCAGCAGGTGAGATCCCACGGACATCTGTCACCAATAATCTCAAATGCAGTCGCCTGGTACATCAGATACAGAGCCTGACACTTTAAGGGCATAGTTACTCATTTTTAGTATCTTCAGCTGTTGGAATCTAAATTCAGGGTGAAATATATCACAGGATATAGCACATAAAATTGATTGGAAATACAAGAATCCCTTACTAAGTCTGGAATTTGCTTAATTGATGTTTAAGCACATTAATATGAGTGTAAAATGTAGTTATTTTTGTAGTCTATACATTGTGTATGAAGATATGGGATCTGTTCAGCAAAGTTAACATTGAATAATTTAATTTGGTTCAGTTTGGTCATTTTGTAAAAGGAATATATATAGATCAGCTTCTTGGCTGGACTGAGAATGAATCCTGGGTCATGCTTCTAGTTATTTGTGTCTTGGGATTCATTTCAAGTAATTTAATGCTTCAGAATAGTTCCATATAAAATCGAGTCTCCATAAGAAAGAGAAGAACTAAATAATAAATAAGAAAATAACAAATAAAATAATATATTATATTGATATAATTAATATAAATAAATCATTTTATTATGGCTGCAGTGTCGGTAATATTTTCTTTTTTGATGAAGGATTTTTATGATAAGCCCTTTTTATTCCTTCAGGAACAATTTAGGGATTTGCATTTGTTAAGGAGCATTTATGTGTCACTATTAATGCTTGAAAGGTAGATTAGGATTAGTAATACATGTAGCACACTTATGCAGCCCTGACTGAGGTCTCATAGGGTTGGTAACTAGGGCCTGTAATGACACATGCAGCCTTGTGTGAGTGTGCTTTAGCAGCCTGAAAGGCTCATACAGGTGGTCTGAAGATGAAGAGGTCAGATGTCATTGACACAGAGTACAGGACATTGTCACAAACCATTGTTTAACAGACAGATCAGGCTGTTTTTAGACTTCAAGTGTGGTCTGTCTCTGTTAGCTTTGCTGGTATTGTTTGCATTTGTGATTTATAACAAATTGCTGCTCAATGTAATAATTAGATAGAAACTCTTGAATTTAGACATCATTGAATAGTTCACCCATCATGTGTTTAGAAAAATACTCACTTTCTTCCGTGGAACATAAAAAGAACGAGCAAGATATTTAGTGAATTTAAACTTAAAGTCACCATGAAATCAAAATGGAAAATTCTTATTTTTTAATGGAATACTGTAGTTTATTATAAATAATTTATCTGTGCACTTCATTATTGTTTTTAAATTCATGTGCCCTCGTAATCTTTAATCAAAAACGTTAACCTCCCCTCCCCCTCAAAACGACTCATCTTCTCTTCCGGTCACGAGCTATGGCGCAAGGGCGGAGCTAGTGACGTGAGGGGTAAACACTGGGGTAAACGACAGCGGGTAAAGCTGAAGCTGATGCTTCACTTTATAGCACTGACACTAGTCATGAGGGAGTACGTTACCCCTAAACATTGAAAAGATATTAGGATATTACGACATTACTCTTAGGACATCGCAAACTAATTTTTTTCATGAATATGACTTAACCTGATGGAGGACGTGCTCAGTCATTCAGGCAGTCTCTCTCTCTCTCTCGCGTGCGCGCGCTGTTTAGGCATGTTTTGTGCCGTTGATCGTCGTCGTCATCCTTAATAAATAAAACCTTTATTCATGCTTGGGTGTAGGCTGTGAATTCAGAAAGAAATCCCCCACCACTAACTGCAAACTGGCATTCAGATCTGCCTCCATTTTGTTAGCAACGCCCCAGCTTCCAACGATCCAATCAATTCCCGAAGGACGAAATCAAGTCCCGCCCGCTCATTACAGATGCCGTTTCACTCGGATATACGTCACAGAAGAGAAGAAAAGACAATCGCAACTTCCGTTTCATGCCGACTTTAAAGTGTGTTGCTCACACAAATCTATTATATGGCTTCAGAAGAGTTGCTATACTGTGCAGGTGTCTTGGATTGCTTTTATAGTGCTTTTTTGTTGTTGTTCTTTTTGGAGTTTGATGACTGGTGAACATCTCTTTTTGTGATAGAAAGTCATACAGGTTTGAAATGACATGAGGTAAATGATGACACAATCTTCATGTTTATGTGAACTGTTACTTGAGGCCCAGTGAGCCTAACACAAAATTATTGATTTGGAAAAGTTTTATCTCCCATAGACATTGTTTGAGTTGATCTTCTTGTAAAATGCCATTTTCTGGAAAGTTGGCCCTGACATCAGGAGACATATTCATTGCCAGTCCGTTCAGCATGCCTTAACTTGTCTCCAGAAACTGGATGAATCTTAGAGATGCAGAGACAGGGAAGGTTCTCTGGCAGGGAACTGAAGACCTCTCCCTTCCTGGGGTAGAACATGAAGGTTTGTGGTTCTCAGCATTACCTTTCATTAAAGATTTAAACTATTGACTCGATTAAGCTACGCCAAATCTTCTCTTATGTCCGCTACTTCTCTGCTCCTTTTAGTGATGTCAGTGAGAGGTCAAGATCAGTCTTCTGTTCTGAATTTAGTACAGAATGTGCCATGTCTGGTAACTAATAGTTTTGATTTTGTTTTCCAGCTCGGGTTCCTAAGAAGATCCTGAAATGTAAAGCTGTCTCCAGAGAGCTAAATTTCTCTTCAGTAGAAAAACTGGAAAAATTCCGACTGGAGCAAAAAGTTTTCTTTAAAGGCCAGTGCCTAGAAGGTTGTTCTAATTATTTCTTGCGCATTGCACTTTTGTGATAAGAAATAGCAATGATGATGGAAGCGCAAAATTAGAGCTCCCTTTTGTAAAATGGTTGGTTCTGAAATATCTTTAAAATTATTTAACACAGAGATGTCTTCTCGAGCAAGGAGCTCCATATAAATGACTTTATTCATTATCCATTAACAAAAAAGTACATTATCAATTTTAAATCCATTTGAAATCCTGTTAAAACGGAATGTCACAAGACTGTATTGTTAAAAAAGGATTAGTACACCACCTTTGTTTACTTTAGTAAATTTGGACGAAGACATCAACACTGAATACTAACCATATATTCTCATCTTAGCTACAGAGTTTTTAAAAGCATAAACATTTTAACTAAACTGCTAAAATTTGTCAAATATAAACGTGATCATAATATTGCATTCATTCATTACATTCACAGGTACAGGTAACTTGTGAAACATTTGAACATTTAAGGTCTATGCCTAATATTCTTGAATATCCTGAACAGTATAGTTTAAATGCAGTGTACTAATATAGAGATTTCTTTCAATAAATAATTTATTATGCATTTCACAATGTAACAGTTGGCCATTTAAATTCTATGCTTGTCTTCATGATTTTGTGGAATTAGACTGATATAAAGTATTTATTTTCAGATTTTACTTGACAAGTTATTTTATATGTGTAATTTGAAAATCTTTTTTATTTTGGCTCATATGAATGTGTGTGCACAAACAATGCTCTTTTGAGACACGATTAACTATATAGCAAATGAATTGAAAATACTTTTGAAAGCTTGTTTGTGAATATGTTTTCATCTTATTAGCCTGCCATAGTTAAAGTGCGTAAGGACTATTTACATCACAAAATGCTTACACATGTACCTTGTCTTTTTTTCAGAGTGGTTTTTTGAGTTTGGCTTTGTGATTCCTAATTCTACAAACACATGGCAGTCTTTGATAGAAGCTGCACCAGAGTCACAGATGATGCCTGCAAATGTCTTAACGTAAGATTTTTTTTTCTACATATTTGATATCCATAAAAGTTGGATTAATCATGGATCAAATTTCTTCTCTTGCAGTGGTAATGTTGTTATAGAGACCAAGTTTTATGATGACGACCTTCATGTCAGCACATCCCGGGTACGACTCTTTTACGTCTGACACATGGAACCTTTCATTTAATTACATTTTTTTTTTTACTGTCACTCCAAAGGATGGACCCATCACTTACGCAAGTTTCAGTTGCCAGAGAAGACACTCTCCGTACTGAGTATTTCTTCTGAGGCGCTTTAATGGGAACATTTCAGTAAAACCCAGTTTCAAGACAAATGATCACACCAGTTTTATGGCAGATAAGGACTTGTACATAAGAGCTATCATGCTCATGAAAACCTGGTTGTGTAAATTACCTGTTTGTATATTTTTCTTCTTCTCCTTCTGTATTTCAATCCTGCAATGTACACTGCTTCCTTATCAGCTGTTTTTAAAACGTTTTCTCCCAGTCTGTATGGTTATTCATGGTCTATTTTTTTTAGTTAAACTGTAAGATAGGATTTGTTTTAAAATAAATTATGAAATTAAGGATTAAAATATTCATATTCATATTTTGTCTCTTGCATCTCTCCCTTAAGTATTTTCAGCAGAATGAGTGATCTCATAATTGTTTTTGGTGGCCAATTTTTGTCACACATTGCATTTACAGAAATATGTCAGCTTTAACATGACATGAAATACAGTTCCGAGGATTTAAAACTGTTTGCGTATTTTGCTCTTTACATTATTCCCATATAATAAACTGGGCACATATCTTTATCCAGATAAAATATCTTAATGGTTGTCACATCAAGTTTGTTCTAATTTTAAATATATAGTCTTGGATATGACCTAGCATATAATTACTTTATATAGACTGGCCGTTCTCTATGTAGTAATGTCCAAAACGTGGAAATAACTGAGAGTACTACATTACCCAGAATTTCTTCCGTTTGGAGCGGAAGTTGTTCGTGACGACCTTGGGTAGCTGCTGCAAGCATGGCGAATAAAGAGCCTAACGTGAGTATCTTAATTCTTAATAAATTTTATTTATAACATTAGAATTGTATAAATGCTCATTAATAAAAGAGCTTTTTATAAGCAGTCATAAGCAGCTTGGCAGCAGAAATCGGAACAGAAAAAGTGTTACACAGTAACTGTTACATGATCTGATCTGCTCTCATACACTAAAGCACGTTTTAAGATTAAACGTGCTGTCAGACCCCTTAACAAATTTAAATATTAATCATTTTTGAATAGCATGCTTTGATTTTGAATACCCGTGCTGAAGTCCTGATTCCTGATACCGGCTGCTCTTAAAGCTTGTTGGGCCTTTGACGTTTAATATCACCTGTAACAAATTGCTGTAACGTTAGGTCTAAAGTTGACGTGATACATACTAGGTAGTTAGTGTAGACTCACATTAAATGTAATTTTTTTTTTCATAAAAGGTTGCCTAATTTGTTTAACACAGTACCTGTTCTTCCATGATCTGTATCAGAATGTAAGCTAATGAAGTCATTTCCCAGACAGTGATTATTATAATATTTTTAACACATGAATAGGACAACGTCAAAAAAACCTGAAAATTCTAGACATGATGAATTATGCCCATTAAGTGTCAAAAGGTGGCGCTGTCATATCATTTAGCCCAGGGGTGTCCAAACTCGGTCCTGGAGGGCCACTGTCCTGCAGAGTTTAGCTCCAACTTGCCTCAACACACCTGGCTGCCAGTTTCTAGTATGCCTAAGACCTTGATTAGCTGGTGCAGGTGTGTTTAATTGGGGTTGGAGCTAAACTCTTCAGGACACCGGCCCTCCAGGACCGAGTTTGGACACCCCTGATTTAGCCTAACCCTTTTGGTAAGACCTTGTCTGTGAAGATTATACTACTGATGTAACAGTCATATTGTCAGTGGAAGGGAATATGTTTATTTTGTAATCTCACAGAGGTTGCTCCAGAACCTGAGGGATCTCGCCGGACGCATGTCCTCTGGCTCAAAGGGTGCTGGACTCGGACTGAAGTTATTAATTGGAGCAGGTGCACTTGCTTATGGAGTCAAAGAGGCCACATACACAGGTGCATTCAGTTTTACAATAGTATAAAGAATTACATTAAAGTAAAAAAGTATTAGGAGTAGAGCTCAGCTCAGATGTCTAGTGTAGTGAATTTCTGCACTACTATTCAGTTTGGGATCAAGATTTTGTTTTTGAAAGAAATTCATACTTTTATTCTGCAAGGATGCATTAAATTGATTAAAAGTGACAGTAAAGAGATTTACAATGTTACAAAAGATTTATTTCAAATAAATGCTGTTCTTTTGAATTTCATCAAAGAATCCTGAAAAAAAGTCACGGTTTCCTCAAATATATTAAGCTGCACAACATTAATTATAATAAATTGGCATATTAGAATAAGTTCTAAAGGATTGTGTGACACTAAAAACTGGTGTACTGGCTGCTAAAAATTTAGCTTTGCCTTTACAGGAATAAATTACATTAAAAGAAAACATATATTAAATTGTAAAAACGCTTCACAATATCACAGTTTTTTCTGTATTTTTGATCAAGTAAATGCAGCCTTGTTGAGCTTAAGAGATTTTTGGACAAAATATTTTTGAATGTTAAACTTTTGAACAGTGGTGTATCTGTGCAACATGTACTTTTGAAATGAATATTAAAATAAGAAGACTGGTAATGTCATCACTCACACTAATTGTCTTGTCTTTAGTGGAGGGTGGTCAGCGAGCAATTGTCTTTAATAGAATTGGAGGGATGCAGATGGACACGGTCCTCTCTGAGGGTCTCCACTTCAGGCAATTTTTTAGGATTTATATACTTGTTCTGTGTGAAAGCATGTTTAATCTCACCATAATAAAAAAAGGAATGCTGTAACTTTCAAATGTAATGAAAAAAACTACATTGTTCTTATAGGATACCATGGTTTCAGTATCCAATCATATATGATATCAGAGCCAAACCAAGAAAAATATCATCTTTAACAGGAAGTAAAGGTACATTTTTGAATTTTATTTCATTGTCATGATCATGCTTTGTTTACTTCCATTTCAACATAGTCATAATGTGTTCACCTTGATTATAGTTCATGTAATGTTGCTGTAATGTGGTCAGACCTGCAGATGGTGAGCATCGCATTGCGTGTGCTGTCACGACCTGTGGCTTCCAACCTTCCTGTCTTGTACCAGCAGCTGGGGAAGGACTACGATGAGCGTGTGCTGCCATCCATTGTAAATGAAGTTCTGAAGAGCGTGGTCGCCAAATTTAATGCATCCCAACTAATTACGCAAAGAGCCCAGGTTTGTATTTCCTCACAATCTGTTACTCAGTTTTGAAAGTCTTCCACATATTCTAGAGATGAACCAAATTTCCAGGATCCATATTCAAAGGAAGAAAATCTCCAAATTACAATATATATTACTATATTCTTAATCTTTCTTTGCCACTGATTTCATGCAGGTCTCTCTACTCATCCGACGGGATCTCTTTGAACGCGCTAAGGACTTCAACATTATTCTCGACGATGTGGCAATCACAGAGTTGAGCTTCAGCAAGGAGTACACAGCAGCTGTGGAGGCCAAACAAGTTGGTAGGTAAAGTTAGGTTCTTGTGTGTTGTAACATAAAACATGTGGACATAATAAGTGTAATAAAACGTGTTTATGGTCTTCCAGCCCAGCAGGAGGCGCAAAGAGCTCAGTTCTTTGTGGAGAAAGCAAAACAAGAACAGAGGCAGAAAATCATCCAAGCTGAAGGAGAGGCCCAGGCTGCCAAAATGGTACGAGTCTCTTATCAAAAATGATTTCTTTTGCCACTCACAGGTCCAAAAGTCATGAGTATTTTAATTATTATATTATATTATTGTATTACACTATTATTTTTAGGGGTGCTCCGATCAGGATTTTTGAGGCCGATCGCCGATCACAGAAAGCAGTATCTGCCGATACCGATCGGGAAGGCTATTTTTTTTATCAAATTTTGGTGCTCCTACATTTTTGACTGTGCTCCTAAATTTTTTAAGTTAGGAGCACAAGCGCTCCTAAAAAGAAAAATAAGCGTAATATGCATTTATGGTGTAATTACTACATTTTCGTGTCAATCCATGTTCATATTTAATGCAAAAAAATGCGCTGTTACTTTAATTCAGCGCTTGCAGCACAGCAAAAATAGGCTCGGTGTGGACACGATCTCTGCACTGCTGCAGACGCACCGCTCGTGGAACGCACTGCCGGACAGCAACTGTGCAGTGTGCACGCTTTAATCCGTTAAAATGAGCGGGGAAAAAATACGCACTGCATACTCACTGCAAACGGAGTAATGTGAACCTGGCATTATGTGTGTGCGCTGCGAGTGTGCATGAGTGCACGGTCTCCAGGAGAGCGCGCAAGCGCTGAATGGTTAAACACTGGCAAGAATTAAAAAGTAATGCAATTTATAAACGTTAGTGACGATGTGACACTGCCTCGATTGTACAAGTGACAATTCCTGTGTCAACTGTGCAGGGTGCAGCTCGCTTATATTGCAGACACGATGTGGTGATTTAAAGACATTTGCATATTTTGAGAGAGAGAGAGAGCGCGCGCTGATTCACTCGCGCTGTTTGTGAAATTACGTCTCACACAAGGTTTTCAAATGACTTTATAAGTTATTTAACTAAGAAATATGAAGACGAGTACCTCACCTTCAGCATTATAATTATTTCACCCGCGCCAGGCTGAGACGGTGCGGCTGCGTGTTGTGCCAAACCTTCTCACGGCAGGCGCGTCAGCTTGAGATCGTTTTTTTGAGATCGGCCTTTTAGAGACCGCCAATCAATCATCCCAACGTGATTATCGGCCGATAGTGATCAGTAGCCGATCAATCGGTGCACCCCTAATTATTTTATAATATATTATTAATGTGTCTTTTTTAGAAAAGTATTATATGAGAAATATATTTTGGTTTGGTCTGATCTAATTCACAGTTAGGGGAGGCCGTCACAAAGAACCCTGGATACCTTAAACTCAGAAGAATCAGAGCAGCGCAGAATATTGCCAAAACGGTACGGTGTTATTATTCACTTTTATTTTATTTATTTATAATTTTTATTGAGTTTTCCTGATGTAAACGGTACGCTTTGGAAAAGGGTGTGTTTTTCACCCATGTAAATATTTGATGTTCACTAGCAGTTCTGCCAAGGTTCAGCTGGTCTTTTTTTGGGGGGGGGACTTAACATTTATTCAAGTCTTTTTGGAAAAAGCTGAATGTTTTGATGTCCTTTCTAAAAGCCCTGACCAGATGAAGGTTGTTTTCCAGGTGGCGGCTTCACAGAACAGGGTTTACCTAAGCGCAGATAGTTTGGTTCTGAATCTACAGGACGACTCTTTTAACAAGTAAGAATCCCATAGTTTTATGCCTTTTTTATGACTCCACAAAAAGAAAAAGTGCATTTTTGTGCTTGCTTAATTACATTGTGTAAAAATATAGTTGATGTTGACCCAATCTTCTTTGTACATTGCAGTTTGTCTCTCGGAAAGAAGTAACCCATTCAGAAAGCACTCTCATTCCAATTGTCTATGTGTGTCCTTTGAGATGGCATTTTCTGATTGAGTCACAAATTAATATGTCAGTCTGGGGAAGATTCATTAAATATCTAATGGTGTAGTCCTGGTTCGTCAATTAAATTTGACTCCACAATTTGCTGGTTATCAAGACACTGCAGTTTTGTGTTCATTTTCAGCACAATGAATGAAGGCAACAACTGTACCAGATCATTTAATTCTTTTCAACATTAATTGTTGTAACAGGAAACATGTCTTTATATTCTACATTAGATGAGCTCAAGGTTGGCTGAGAAAAAATAAATCCATCCATTTTCTTAGTAATGATTTATGTCTTTCCTGAAAAATAACACAAACAATTGTATGTGTGACTCAAAATGACAGCTAAAAACTTTTTCCAATCAGTTGAAGTTCATAATGGCTGCATGTTTGGCAGTTGCCTTATTGTTGTTTGGATAAACCTGGAATATTTTAATCCTAAAACGTGTTTTCAGTCATAAGTATGAAACCTTTTTGGTATTAAACTGGCCTGCCGTATAAAAGCATCGCTCCACCACCTGGTTCTGGTTACTTTAGCAGTCTAATCCTGCTCAATCTACCTCTCTACTTAACCTCTGAACTGCCTCTTTCCTCCCCAAAACTCAGAACATAGTGTGGGGCTTGTTTTGTTCTCCTATTGGCTCCTGTGTATTTGCATTCTTTGAAATGCACCAGTGAATAGATGCTGAGTCTTTTGTCAGACTGCATACCCAAATACATGTTACTGTTTTAATAAGGAGAAGTTACATAATAAAGTATTGCTTAATCTCCAAGCAAGTTTCTTCTACAAACATAAATATGGTTGTCTTGCTCTAAGTATATTGGCCAGGCAGCCGATTAATCAGCTGATGTTTGGCTAAACTAAGACTCTCAGCATTGATTATTAACTCTGCCTTCTTGGCTGTTTACTTTAGGTGTCCGCTTCCGACATTTCTGTTCCAAAATGTACAAATACCCTTGTCAACTGAAAAGTCACACCTAAAATAGTTAAATATTTTGAAAAGTGTTCATTTAATTTCAGCATAATGTTTAATGCAGTATGTGCAGCAGTTTAATGCAATCATATTCTTGTCTAGTGCATGTTTGCATTGGCACAATGTACAAAGTCAAGAGTTTTTTTTTTGTCATTTTTGTTTTTTGCCTTCACAGTTGCTGGATCTCTTAAGAACAGCTGATAATCAAGTCTTGTAGTTCATCTAAATCACATGTGAAATTCAAAACTTTATATTCAAACCTATAATTATACTGAGCTACAAATACATAAATTATACACATTTCAAAATATATATAACTCAAATGATAAAGCTCAGATTGATACATTCAATTTGGCTTAAAAGGAAAAAATGCAGGTGCCAACACAGTTTTCAATAGGTAATATCAGAAAGGAATAAAGACAAAAACAACATATAAACAATCATACAGTGGCCAGATAGGACTTGTCACTATGATATGGTGTGAAACATTTAAGACCTTAATTCAGCAGAGCGCAGTAGGCTGAGGCTGTCCTCGTAATCCAAGACATTGGGACAGATTTCAGTTTTTGAGTGTCCGTAGATGCAGCCTGATCAAAGAGCAGTGGGTTTGAGCACTGCAATTTAGCTTTATTGTAGCTTAATTGTAGTAATTATTATATAATTACTAGGGTGTTTCAGGCACAAAGATTCCATTAATAATTCAAAGAAAAACTGGACCAAAAAACAGGAACTTCATGAAGTTTAACAACTGCAGCTGTGTTCTTTTATTTAAATCCCTTTATATTTTAAAGAAATTATTTTTCTATATTTATATTTTTGTCAGGATCTGGTGTGTATGAATTCTAAAATAAGTGGTTAAATGTAATCGTGTGTGATGTATTGATTTATTACATGAAACGATATGTAATACATATTGAAATTATATCAGCCGTCTGCCAGTTCTCTAAATGTCAACGAACACTGCTCTTTTGTCTAAAAGACAATTTGTTATAAAGAAATGAAGGTATTCATTGTATCTTTTGAATTTTTTTGAATTGAATACACAGTTTCACCTGACCTCAGAGTAAGATTTTTGCAAGTAAACATGATAAGCAGATGAGAACTGAGAAGTCGCTGACTGCCTGCATGTTTCAGTGGATAATCAGGGGTTGTGTTACAGCTCTTAAATGACTCTGTGCCATCTCAGTATAATTAGATCATATTAAGCCCTTTGTGTATGTGTGGGGATGCAATTATAGCCTATCAGTGTCAGACTTGCTAAAGGGCCCCACTAGGTGGCACTCAACACCCAATACTGCCCTACATGGTCTCACATGACATTCAGCTGTTGAGATTGTCTGCGAAATAAAACTACAAACGTTTGAGCTCAGGCTCAAGTCAAGTCTGTTCCTGTAGTTTTCATAACATACAGCTGGGTTAAGCGTGACGCCACACGCATTTTGCTTCAGGCTTTAAAGCTTGTATTCATCCTTAATGGGCCTCTACACAATGTCCCTCTATAGTGAAAAGCTCTGTTGAAGGAGAGGGGGTTTGTGCCACATGCTCATTCCTGAAGGTGGGCTGTAGGTCAGGCGTCTGTGAGTGAAACACAAACACAGCCCTCCCCAAAGCTCCAGTCTTCAAAGTCCAACAACAATAAACATGTTTTAAGGCCAAGACATCGAGGTTCTAAGTGGAAATTGCGTAATTAAACGTTGTTGGAACGTTGAAATACAGTTTGAGTGGTTCAAATTGTTCGGAAGGATGCATTTATATGTAAATACGAACATGTTTGTTTATTAAGATTTTAAGACTGTGATCCACTCCACTGTGCAAGAACAGTGTAACACCTGCGTGACTAAGCTGAATGTTAATTGAGGGAATGTGCTGGCTGCGATGGTGCATTTTTTAACATGGCTTGTTTGCACCCTCCCTTCCTTACACACACACACACTGCAAAAAAGATGCAAGCCCATTGCTCAGTTGGTGTGTCTCCATGGCAACACTGACCTCATGCTGTGACAGGCAATCTGGGCTGGTTGCTATGGTGAGTCGTTGTGACATCAAACTTGAGCCCCAGTTGGTTGCCATGGCACCACACCTACTGGCACAGCAGCTATTTCTGTGTGATGTCTGGAGCCAACAGGCAACAGAGTTACAATGTCCCATTTCCATTCGTGATGCTTATTTCTTTGTTCTGTTGCTATTTTATGCAATTCTGTACGATTCTGCCTTTGGATCTGCGACAAGCACTTACCTTTTTTTTTTTTTCATTGTAAACATTTGAATGATTTTCTTCACTATCCTTAAGCACAGACTATCGTTCCACCTTGTAAAAAAAATCCTTCTGATTAGAACATTTATTTATGAGTTTGGTGTTTTTTTTTTTTTCATTGTAAACATTTGAATGATTTTCTTCACTATCCTTAAGCACAGACTATCGTTCCACCTTGTAAAAAAAATCCTTCTGATTAGAACATTTATTTATGAGTTTGGTGTCTTTGAGTAAGTAAGTCATGGCTTTCAAGGACAAATGAAGAATTATGAACGACATATTTAATCTAAAGATGGCGCTGTGGGTCAACTAATCCCCATGTCCTCTAGAGCATCTGAATGAATGCATCGACACAATTTGCATCTTTTTTTTTTTTTTTGCATACGACTTACTATTAATTGCACTTGCATCATACCACAAATTGAATTATGATAATTTTATGGAATTTAATGGCTTACCCTGCTAGTGTACGTGTGTTTGCTGTTTCTTTGGGACAGCTCATGGGTGCCGCCCATGGTTGTTCGGTGTCTTGTGGCTCATTAAAGGTGTGTGTAGGGTCCCTCATGGCAGAGGTGTTGGGTAGTGCAAAGGCCCCTCACCCATCTTCATCATGGGTGATAAATGTGAACAAGGGCCCAGTAACAGCTCCACCCAGCTTCCTTCTCCCCTCCCATTTCTTTCTTTTTTTCTTTTCACCCTTCCCCCCTTCACTCTCACTTTGTTTCTCCCTCCTTCTTTATTGTGTGTACTCACCAATAAGCCTTGTTCTCTGATACAGTTGAGATTTATTTGTATTTTGAGTGCCAGTTACTCTAGATCCACTGTCTGTCATTTTTCATCCTGATTTGTTCACCTCCTGTTAGAGTTCAACAGAAACCACATCTGTAAAGTGAGCCATGTGAGAGCGCATGAAGAGTCAGGAGTGCTTTATGACAATATTTTACCAAGCACATGAACTAACCATCCCCCTCTCCTTCTCTGTATAGTCTTTAAAGTGCTAAGTGACATTGGGGAATTGTGTCCTAGTTTGACATGCATCATGTCTGCACACATCATCTGATGCCCTTCAGTTTGATAATGAAGCTGATAATGAACACCGCTGGGTCCAGCTTAGACCAGTGCATGAAGGAAATCACAACTTACAGAGTAGAAAGAAAAAAATGAAACAACCCTTATTTGCTGAATCAGATCTCATTTGTTAGTATTTGTTTCCATGTATGTAATGTTGTTGACCATATTGCTAGTTACTAGACAGTGATATCTTTGACACTTGTGTAGGAAAAATTACTAAGTGATATAGGTCTGTTTTCGGTTTTGCAGTAAACTTTTCCCTTCTCACACTAGTAAATTAATGCAGGATGTTTTGTGCGTACATAAGGCTACATACTAATACAAACATGTCTGAAAAAGACAAAGTGCAACGGGTCAAAGATGTCTGTCTAGCATAATGTTTACATGGATTAAAAAAAATTGTATCTCTTATCGCTTCAGATGTTTGTTCTATTTGACTGTAAGTGCCCTGCGAAGTGGACATCACAGGATATTCCACTATGATTCCAGTTCGAAGGGAGCGTATATGTTTCATTCAAAGGGCATTAAAGTGTGTGAGACGTGAATTTAAATTGTATTTATTTACAGAGGTATAGGCTATTATGTCACACTTCTCTAGTAAGTTTCGTTTGTGTGTGAAGATGCTGCAGGCCATGGCGTATCGCAAATCTGTGAATGAATGTGCCAAAGTGAAGTAAACTTCAACGGATTTCCAGTGCTCAAGGAGTAGGGAGCAATGAACACTCTGTAGGGACCTAGTCAGTCGGAACACTGGTTATGGTAATGAGCTGGTAATGAGCTGGTTATCTGAATCAGGTGTGTTAAATAAGAGAGACATGCCAAATATGCAGAGCAGTGGTACGCGAGTACTGGAATTGAGAACCACTGCAGTAGATGTTTGACAGTGGCTTTTTGCATTGTCTCACGCCTGACACAATGTTCTAAAAATAAACTTTTCAACTTTTAAAAAATGTGCTTTTAGACCTTTTTTAATTCCACTGTTTATATATATATTATAATTGATAAATATGACTTTCAAATTTATTATCACTTATAACCCTCCGTACACAAAAAGTCCTCCATCTGCCTTCAGTTTGGCATGACTATTTTGAGGACTTTACCTATGCACAGTAGCTGTAGATGTATTAGAGCAGTGGAGTTTCCTGTTTTTATGTGGTTGGTCTTCCTGTGGTGGGGGTGAGGAAGTATAACTCAGGTGACCTGCTACAAAGCCAGTATGTTTACCCTGTCACTTCATTTCCAACCCATTTCTCCCTTTCACCTTGATGGCCCCTTCATTGTCCCCAAGGGAGGATTTTGTTTAAAACACCACATTACAGTTTTTATTATTATTATTATTATTATTCACTTTGGTACTATTTTCACAAGTAAGGTGTATATTTTCAAAACTCTTAGTACAAAACTCTAAACTGATCACACTTGTAACTTTAACACCTTGTAAGTCATTCTTTCAAAATTGAGCTTTCCTTACAATTACACATATTTTCATCCACACAATCATTGTTTCAAAACATAAGATTATAATATATATTGAGAACATTTGATTTAATCACCGAAACACAACACTGTGATCCTCTTTCAATTTAGCACACACTGTGTGACGTGTGTGTACACACACTGACTTACAAAATAGTGGTTATCATCTAAGATAAATCACTTTTCATTACATTTGATGATCTGTAAACTCCAAACAAGTTCTTTAGAAACTATATCTACTGAATCTATATCTATAGATAGATGCACCAAATGATTCACTGATTAACCAAGTTAGATTTAATGATAGACAAATGTATTAAACTGAATGAGAAGACATCCAAATGAAAAGTTTGATAGCAAGAGCTTTATGAAAGGCCTGTTACTGTGAATGAAACATTTATATAGATGAAACGCTTATTTTGTGTAGTGAAAAGGATACTTTGTGATTGTGTGTATTGTACTAAGACAAGTGAAAATATGCTGAAATGTTTGAAAAAAGTGCACTTTTGATGATCTGTTGTGATAGTACCAAGCGTTTTGAAAATGTAACAGTTGCATGTGAAAGTAGTACCAAAGTGAATAATAAAAAATAAAAAAAAACTGTAAAAG